TACAAAGAGTCGGACACGACTTAATGACTGAACAATGACAACAACAATCAAGAGAATGTCTGGCTGGAAATTACAGTCAGAAAAAATGCAGAGTAGTCATTTAGTTCTAAAGGCTCTATATTCCAAGTCTCACATAAAGAAAGAATATCAAAGTGGTGCAGCAAAGGACAAAATCAGGGTCAGTTTTGCACACTAGCAGAATAATTGTAAGGTAGTAATCATATAGTAGAGTACCCAAGGTAATATTTAACTGGGGCTAGCACAGTCAGTCTAGATATTGCTAACTTCTGGCTGGCTGATGGTTTTACCACTGGAGGAGAATGACTTTTCAGATGCTGGCCCATGACTGGCATCTTCAGATATATGAGGGAGAATTTAGGCAACTTGTTGGAGGTGAAGGGTATCAGAATTTCTTACCTGAGTAGCATCTATTTATCTATGGCGTCTGAAGAGTAATACTTTAGTTGTGATTGCCTGGATTGTGATACAACTGATGTGATGGGAAGCTCCTCAGTGGAAGGAAAGTGGAAGGAGGGAGGTGTTGAAATAGGGACAGAATAGAGGAGTTTGTCCATTTGCTAGGGAGTGAATCAGGGCCTATATTTAAGGTTACAAAGTTATGTTGAATGTTTCACAGAATCATTAACAATGAAATTACTTGTTAGGCTAGATAGGATATGGAAGCATCTGAGAGAAAATAAGAAAAAAACTTATTTTAGGACTTCAGGCCTCTGGAGCATGATGGTTTGTACTTTTCTTGAGAGCTGTAAGAAAGCAGTTCAGTTACTTGGATTGTTCTGAAAGGATAAAGGGGGATGATAGGGTTAAGAAATCACAGACAGAGCTTCAACGTTTTTGTGAGAACCCTAACAAACTGCATTGATGCTTTTGTTTCAAATGTTTTAATTTTTTTAATGTTTTTGACTTTTTTTTCAAATTTTGAAAAATTATTTCAAATTTTTTTTACATTATTTGAGCTGATTGAAAAATATACTCAGAGGTGTCAAAAGAGAGCAGAAAGAAATGGAGGTGTTGACCCTTTGGCCATTAAAAGCAGGTCCATTTCTTCTGATGGTGATGTCTCATAAGCAGGTGCTGAAATATGTTTATAAAGGTGATTTAAAAACTAGAGTATCAAGCTCCCCATTAAAAGATCTTAAATTAGTGTCTGCTGTGAGAAGGCACTGATTGGATCAGAATGGAAAGGAACTACTGTTGAAGATTTATGCAGCTCTTTAGTGACAAAGCTGTTCAACTCCCAATTTGAAAACAAAGTCTCAACATGAGATGGAGTGGGGGGACTTGTATCCTAGTCTGCTTGTTCAGGACTTGCATCCTAGCTGCTTGTTCAGTCTCCCTTTCTAATAATAGTAATACGTTTGCAAAATGCATTTCACAAGTTCAGCCTTCCTACATACAATCTCCCTTTATGTGCAATTTAAAATAAAAAATAAAAATAAAAATGCCAGTTCAGAAATGAATGGTAGGAGGCATTTAACTATTTGTGGTAGCTACAAAGTTGTTCAAGGGTAGCATTGGTCCTACTTTGAGAAACAATGTAGTAGGTCAAGAATAATGGCATAAGCTTTAGCAATTCTCTTCTAGTATGGAAAGCCTTATGAAGGAATTATGCAGGTTACCACACAGAAAACAAATTTACCTTAGCATAGATTCCTTGCTAGAACATACTGCATACTCTACTGAAATAGAGTTCTATTGAAGCAAAGGTCCTCTGTTTCCTTTTACTTGGACTTCTCTTTCTCTACTTGAAAGACCAGGTTAGGGATAGATCATCATGGAGAAAATCTACCTATGTGGTCACTAGGAGTAAAAAATGACTTGATGGCATATAATCAATTAAATAAAAAAATCTCTTTCTCTGGAAATTCCAAACTTCAGTCTGAAGCTGATGGGGAATAGTATTAGCTCTGTGCTTTTCCCAGCCTTAGTTCAAAGCTTCTGGAGTTCTACCCAAGATTTAAAATAATCAAGGTTTTTCAGTATCCAGCAGAGAGAAGGGCTGGGGACTTTCTAGGCATGTAACAAAGAGCATCTCTCCCTTGTAGGAATAGAGACTGGGAAGATCTGAAGTCCATATGAAGGGATGTGTATTCTGCCTGAATTTTGCTGGCTAGCTAGAGAACTACATTCCAAACAGCAAGCAGCAGGTTTTTTTGCCAATCTAAGTCAAAAAAGTCAGTACAAACCAGTACATATTTCTGAATGCTATATAAAATCATTGAACGTTATATTAATAAAGCTACATAAAATATGAATGTTATTTTTAAACAAACATAAAATTATACAGGCGATATATTAAATGTAAAAATATGTATCACACTTTTCAGTGATGTTTTATTTCTTTTCAATACTTTCTGAAAAATTAGATAAAAAGTATTGTATGAATGCAGGTGAACTTGATACTATAGACTATATTTATACTGAGAAGCACAATCCTACCTGTTAGTTTTTCCAAAGCATCAAATCCGTGCTTCAACGCAATGATATCAAGAAATGAAACTGTCCCATCCTCAAACCTATATAAAGTATTAACAAGGAAAACATTACACTACAAACAACCTCTTTCCAGCTGTTGTATTTATTAGGGGATCAAGTCTAAAAACTAGATAAATATTAAATGAAACTGTCTCCTATTCATTCTGCTCACCCCACCAGATCTGACAAGAGTATAGTACTTTGCATGCTCCGGGTCCTTTTTATCAAGCAATGTGATCTGATGAGACTCAGGAGATGTGCCTTCTCTGTCGTGCCTACTGTGTGGAAAAGCTTAACCTCCAAAATTCAGACAGCTCTGACTCTGTTAGCCTTTCAAAGGCACTGAAGACCTGGCAGGTGTTAGGCTAGGGCTCTGAGGGAGTACAACTCTGAGATGTGTTTAAGAGGTGGAGTTGAGTGTTTGACCTCAGTTGCTAGCTGTTTGGAGGTTTCATGTTTTATCTGGTTTTCAATCTGTTGTAAGCTGCCCAGAGTTCTTTTGAATTGGTCAACCCTATAAATTGAAAAAATAAACTAACTGGTAGAATTAAGGTGGTAATCACATCATAAAAAATAAAGAAAAAACGTATTAAAACACTATTACACATATAAACAGACATATGTAATTTACCAATCCATCTTGTTAAAAATGGAAGACTTCATATAACCACTGCAAGACTTGCAGAACAGATGATTGCCAAGGTCATTTCCAACCTTGCATTCTATAATTCTAAAATTTAAGAAATAGGGAGGTGAGGACTGTTGCATTTTTTGTTCTACGGACTATGGCTTAGATCAGATTTGGTATCTAAATTGACCCAGTGTTTGACACTGGGAGCCTGAGTAACATATAGCTTTACCTTTCAGCCACTGATTGTCTCGGTGAATAAAAATCCTCTTCTGCCAAATAGGCAGCAGCAGTTCCTCCTCCAAAATAGGTTTTCCTCAAGCAAGAAGCAATTTCATTTTTTACTAGCAATGCACCTAGGCCAGTGGGGAATCCAAATATCTTATAGAATGATAAAGAAATAAAGTCTGCTTGATGAATGCTTAAGTCTAAGGGAGAGGTGCAAACGTAAGATGCTGCATCCAAGAGCACAAACCACTTCCCTTGGACCTGAATGGGGCAGCGCTTTCCACACTGTATCTCTTCTATCCATGCAAGTGGATATTTGGTTCCTGAAAAATTGCTCTGAGCAGGATAACAGAAGAGATGTGGTGTTGTGCAATTATTGTTTTTAGCCTCCACAACATTTGCTGATAACATATCCTTTGGTTTTACTGGAACAAATAAGACATTTTTTGCAGTAGTGATCACTCTCATGCCCACCACAGATGTATGGTTATCAGTAAGATAGCAAAATCGGCTGCCAGGTTCCTCCAAGGTTTCAGGCATCCAAGGGAAAGCTTCTGCAATGAGTTTGAATGAAGCTGTGCTTCCTGAAGTAAAAATGACAGTATAGTCTTCAACAGTTGTATTGAAGTGCTTCAGTATTCTGCAAAATAAAAACAGAATCACAGACATATTGAATAGTTATTTTTTCCATCTTATGTTGTTCTACTAAAATATTGAATGAACTCAAAGCAATGATAAGGTTTCATGGCAGAAGCTAATAAGAATATTGCATAAGATGGGCAGATTCCTAAAAAGGAGATATTACAAGCAGTATTACAAACAATTCCAAAAAAAAAAAAAAATGGAGAACAGTGCCTATGTGTATATATAAAAAGCTATGATAAATTCAAGTATACCATGAGAATAAAGAAATATAAAAATTGCGGACAGGACACCTTGAAGGAGTCTGGTAGCATCTTTTCTAACAAGTTTTATTAAAAGGCATAAGCTTTCATGAGCTGCATCTCATTTCATCAGATGCAACTTGGTAAGTTTAACAGATTTCCATTCCATCTAGCTGAATGTGGTGCTTCACCGAACATGGCAAAATAACAACAACAACCACCACCTTAGATGCAATCCCAAAACATCTGGAGCATCATTTGAACACCAACAACATTGACAAAATCACCATCATTCAATTGCAAAAGGCAGCCTTACTTGGAACAGCTTATATCCTGTGACTATACCTTTAACACCATCAAACAACAATATCTGTCTATCCCAGGTCCTTGGGAAGGACTCAATAGGTGGACAGAAATGCCAAATCCAGTCTAAACATCTGGCTGACTGTGTAACCAACAACAACAACAAGCCCCCAGTGAGACACTACCTTGACATGGTTGTGGGGCTTGTGTGCTCCAAGGAGGATGAGAGCTATGCCAGAGGTTCAACCATACTGAACAGGCCTCATCAGAGGAGTCAGGTGAAGAGTGTCTCTCCCATAAACAATATGATGAGACGTAATTTACAGCAACCTATATCGGATTGGTCGCCGCCTGGGTCAACAAGGACCATGCTAGGTGTTCTAGTTCCAGGTGACTGGTGGCTACAGGACGCGGTGACAAGTGGGCTACAGGACTTAGGACTATTGGCTGAGCAACAAAGGCCAGCAGCTGTAGGACTACTGGAAGAAAAGTTGTTTACCTATTGCAAATATACAAAGACTGAAAACAAAGAAATAATGATCTGATCAAATCAAGTCCAACAAGAAGAGGATATCTGAAAAGAATGCAACAGTTCTGGAAAGAACAACACCCAGAATCAGAAATAACAGAACAGAGGCTAGCAGATCAACATCAATTTATAACATGAAATAAAGTATTCACAAAAGTAGAAATGGAAGAACTGCAAAGGCCTACCCAGTGCAAAGAAACCTAAACCTTACCAGAAGTAGAAGGGAGGAGATAGGTAAAGGCATTTCCTTCCTCCATGATGATGCGTGGTGGGACCTACATAACCTGTAACTATGATGCATGAAAAGTAACAGAAAGGTGGGCCCAAGTGGTCAGGAGGGTTGAAGCCCTTCCCACCACTGATCAGGGCCTATCACTTGCTATTCATTACAGGAATATGTGAAAATAAATGCTTCTGGGGCTTACTGAGACTATTTTTAATGGCAACCCTTGCAGGTTCCATGTGAATTAATGTGAATTCTATATATGGGAATGCATAAAGAGATAGAGAAAGAGTGTTATATGTAAGTCAAAAGAAAAACAGGCTTGTCTGAAACAAAAGGTCCAAGATCTGCAAGCAAGGACTATCTCATCTAAAAATCACCTTTGGCAGAGTACATGCAATCACACAAAAGCTAAGGAAAGAAATGGCAGCTACTCAAAGAGAATCAAACCAAAACTGAAGTCCAAAATCTAAGCATGTGTTAAATACCCATCCGGAACTCTTCTCCACGTGCAGGGATAGATGCATGTATTCTTAGGAGCACTGTTATATCTTCAGGCCAATGTGTGTGTAGGCACTAGTATTGGATTTAAAATGTCCATGGGAACAGAAAAGCGCACTGCTCATGTTCAAGTCTAGCTTTAAAAAAGATTTTGATTCTATGGGGTGGGTATGATTGACCTAATTACCAAAGGGAGAAATAGGTGATACACAATGTATCCTCAGAGAATGTTCCCGGTGATGGAGGATGAGCACCATCCAGCTCATCCATTAAAAAAAAAAACTTTGGTCAACATCCAGCTAACATCTCACTCTAAGAAGAAAACAGTCTGGGGGGAGGAAGGAGAAGATTTGATCCTACTAACTGTAAATCTGAAAAGGAAGTTTGGGTATTACATCCAAACAAAATTTATGTCTAAGGCCCTGTTGAGAAAATGAGAATAATCCTTCCTCCAATTTTTCTGTTGCTGGGATTGCATGACAAACTGAGAGGTAACATCTGGGCATCACTGTAAATGACTCATGAATTATAGCAGAGTCTATAGAACAACATCTGAATTGCTCCTTTAACAAGAATCATGCTACAGTGAATCGGATTTATCTGACATCAGATGCTCCATAGTTCCTGGTACACTTCACGTTTCCCTAGGTTCTCTCTCTATGTGACAGGTATGCATGTGGCAGGTATTTATGGGTAAGACAAAATTCACTTTCTTAGGTTGAATTTGCATTTGAGCAAAAACACATTATATGTGGCCAAAGAATAAACAGTCTTAACCGAACATCTCTACCATGATATTTTTATTAATATAAAACCAAATTTAATTTAATTAAAATTAAAATTAATTTAATTTAAATTTAAATGTTGCCAAATTGCAAAGTATTATGTTCCATACCATTGCATGCTTATGTTTAAATACATTATGCTTATTGTACTTAATTGCTTATTTATATAGCAGTGTGCAAACTCTATTTATCCAAGTGACAATTTTAATTATCACCATGCAACAATGGGAAAAATGAATTAGCCAAGGGATGGAGTATACATCTATTGCCCATGGAACACTTTTGAATTTTGAATAACTGAAGGGTAGGTTTCCCTTCCTTCCTTCCTAACCCTAACCCCCTCCCCACTTAATGCTGTTAATCAGCAATGTTAACCATAAATTAAATCAACTGCACATAATTCTCAGCCTGTTCACTGACTGATTGAATCCAGGTTCTGCTTCATTACTGCTGGAACAATAACTCAAGTTTTTAGTTTCAGTGACAGCCACTTGACCCATAGTTTGTTTTTTAATGTGATCTTTATTGTATTTTATCCTGAGATAGGGTAGACTATAAATATAAGTACATCATAACAACCACCACATAAAAGAGACTAGTCTATGTAAGTAGTGTTCTGAGTAAAGCCCAGGAGTACTTTGTTTGTTTACACAAAAAGGCATTTAAAAACTAGAAAAGATTAGAAACTGAAACTAAAGACATTTGGAAATGTCTCAGTTGGGCATTTAAGAAGATGAATTGAGCATGGTGGAATGTATCCATTTCGTAGTCTCCAGCTATGACCTTTAAGACAGACAATTGGGAACATGCCAATATTAAAACAGATATTTCTTACTGTATTTTAAAGATTAATGAAGGTTGTCATGTATTTTAGCAGTTACAATTACAGTAATACCTCGGTTCACGAACACTTCGGTTCATGAACAGCAGGGTTTGCAAATTTTTGCTTCTGTTCGCAAACTCCGCATCGGATGATGAGCACGACCTGCGGCCATCTTCCCTGCTCTGACACGTGGTCGTGGCTTCCTCTAGGCAAGATCGCTGTCGCAGACAGACACTTGCTGTGAAGCTTTTTGGTGTGCTTTTTAGCGCATGCAGTACATCCAGCATGGCTCCAAAGAAAGTGCAGAGCAAGCATGGTGGTAAAAAGAGAAAGTGCAGAGCGGTAATGAAGGTGACAAGAACATGCAGAACAGTAATGAAGGTGACAAGAATGTGCAGAGCAATAATGAAGGTAATAAGAAAGTTACCACGGAAGAATTTGCTGAACTCCAGAGTAAGCAGCAGAAGGCGCCTGTTGAGGAGCATTCCACTGAGGAAGAGGAAGACAGAGGAGGTTAGCAGTGATGTGATAAAATCCATTATGGAAAAATGGAATGAGTGCCAGGATT